TTACTTCCTGATCGAAGTGTAACAATTAACCATTGAGGTGTTTGGCTAATTAGCTCATGTCGTGTCATTTGAATGGCAGTGTTCTGAAATTGCAAACATGTGACTTTATGTCAGATTGTTGTGTCTTATGCAGAGAACCGTGTTCAGTGCATTTAAAAAGTCTCATTTTGAATTGCAAAATGTGTGTAAAGCAGAAAATGTGTTTAGACTTCTGGAGACTTGAGAAGAGGTTTTGCTCTGTGTGTCAGTTTACATAATTGTGCTATGCACGTCATTTTAGTGTGTTAGCAATTGGAAAAAACTGTAATAACTATATTCCCGTCCCGTTTTCTTGAGCTGCTGTAATGCACAAATTTCCCCACGGGGATCAATAAAGTTTATCTTTATCTTTATCTTTATCTGCAAATATTTCTGTGCATGTGAATAATCTGAAGAATTTTCTACAATTCGAACTATTTTAGTATTATGGCAAAGCATACTAAAGATGAGAGTGCTTTTCATTATGCCCAACAGTGTGTAGATGGTTAGACAAAAATCTGGTAATATGAATGAAGTTGGTGCCATTTGGTGCAAAAGTTTGATTTTGATAATGTTATATGTAGTTTTGGTTGCAGTGCTTCATTTTGCAGGATATATGAGGTATTTTGCAGTTTGGGTGTGTATTTTGATAAAACCAGCATAGTTTGCAAAATTGTTTTTTCGCAGTGGGAAAAAACTGTAAAGCAACACCTTTATTAAAAATGAAAGAAATAGTCAAGAATATTATAAAAACTCTGCAGTAGAAGAAGAAAAACAAGTCAGTCCTCGTGTCATACAGAGTTTATTAAAAACAAAAAAGCTTTAAAAATAAGAAATGCAACATAAATCCTAAACACATCTTTCCTTTAATACAATCATCTTTGCCTTTGAATCAACACAAAATAAAAGTTAAAAGTTAACATCTTTAAAAACGACACAGAAAAAAAGAGAAACAGCGGACCAGCTTCTCTCCCACACAAGTGTTCCTGCAACCGCTTCAGAGACCACTCCACTACCAAGCAGAGGTAAGCTGCTCCACTGTTTGTCCCCACTACAGTGCACCTTGTGTTACTGAACATTACCCGACACACAGTCAGCACTCCAGCTTCCGTCCAGTTTTAGTGCACGACTGCAAATATTGTTTATCTTGCTAATACTCTACCTTTGGTGATAAAACCAATCTAACAATGATTGAACACAGATGAGTCAAAACATGTAAAACCATACACAAAACATTACAAAGGTTATTCTCTTCTTATGGTCACATTGCTGTAAGATTTTACATTCCCCACAGTCTTATAATATACATATCAATATTAATACGTCTTAAATGAGCACATCTTTTTAGCCAGTCGGAGGAGTTCTGACCCCGGTGTAGATCGTCTCTTCTGTTGCTGCTTTGACTTTCTCTTCTCTCTTTTGTCCGTTCTAATCTTAGAAAAAGTCGGTGCATAATAAACCAACGAGTCCTCAGCGCTCTGAGAAAATAACAAAAAATAGTTTGAAGTCAGTATGCTGTTGATAAAGCTGTGCAGAGTATGTATCATGAATTTAGTTTCAACAGCAACATGAGGGTGAAACTTTTGACCTGCGAGAAAGTTTGCATGAGCGCTATAAACGACCAACGGTATAAACGACCGCATAAACGACCAACGGTTAACGGGTGGACAACTTTCTCGCCGTGCATCATCAAAGTCTGCCTAAGTAGTTCTGACAAATAATGTTAGCATGCGTTGCTAACTCATCAGGGGACAGTAAGGTTATTCGTACAACATCAGGTCATTATATGGTAATGTCAGCTACCTGAGAAAAAATAGGATGAGCCTGCAGATATTTCTATAAACTTATAAAAAGCAAAACAATATTCCAACAAATGATTCTCGTTGAATCTTTTCTGAAGTATCTCACCTGCTGGCGTCGTCGATCTGCTGCAGGATGTGTTGCAGAACTTCAGCAGCTGTGATATCAATTAAAAACAAAGATGTAAGTGTTTAATTTACACAAAGATATAAAGTTAATTTTGCTCAATACTTTATTTATTTATTGGAGATAATGTTCTGTTACCTTTGCTGGACTCACACGATTTAGTCTTGATGATATGAATCAGGAAAGCTATAATAATCAAGCTTATAGCCAAAGCAGCTGATAACAGAAACAGAGCTATTACGGCCGTCTGATTGTCGGCTCCTGAAAACATAAAAAACATATTGTGTTAAGATGTTTCACTAAAATCTTCCAGGTGGATTCAACTGTTTGAAAATGAATGTTAAAAAATGATTCATATTGAATGCTGTGCAGTTACCTTTGATGTCAATCTTTGTCCCATTTCCAAACAATATCTCTCCACATGCGGCCACAGCACAGAAATAAGTCGAGGCGTCGGAGGAGTTGACGGTCTTTGAGAAGCTGTAGACACATTTCTGTGGAGAGTGAGCCTCTGGACTCCTCACATCCTCCAGGTCTGTTTCCATGAGTGTAAATGACACTGGGATGATTTTCATCTGATCCGGCTCTGAACCAGAACACTCTGTGTTTCCCTGGACATCTGTTGTTTTCAGACTCAGAGAGAACAGAACACTGCAGAGTCATCAGGTCTCCTGGGTGGACTGGATCCTGTGAAATGTCTTGAACGACTGAGGTGATACTGGGCTCTGGTCCTGAATAAGTTCAACACAAAGTAAATATGCTGGATTTGTTAAAAATATTCAAAGTAGCTGCAGTTTAGAATTAAGAGAAAAACATCCTAGAAAGTATGCTGTATGTTTTTTCCTTATTCAGGAGACATTTGGTTGACTGCTCTCATAAATGGTGTTAGGTATTATTTTAAAGAGTTGAAGTGCATTTTATTTACCTTTAATCTGCAGAAATGTTCCTTTTAAACTGTCATTTTAATACTCTCTCGTTTCACACAAAGTAAAGTCCAGTGTCCCGAGTTTTACTCCATTAATAATCACCACAAACGTTCCAGGCTCTTTTTTTGCTGTGAATCCAGGAGTTTCTTCAACAAGGTCAGAATCAATGGCATTGGTTCCGACCAAAACCTCAGGCAAATCACCAGAAACGAGCCGGAGCCAGAATAATTGTGTTGAAGATAAAGAAGCATCACGAGGACACGTCAGAGTCACATCATCTCCAACACCAACAGTCTTTGTCTCAAAGTTCTCATAGATGGTGCATCCTGAAGAAAATAAATATATGTCAGTGTTTAACAACAGAGAAAGATCATGTATGCTCTGTGCTAAAATAAAACATATTAACCCTTAAAAGATCAGAATTAGACGAGAAGATTGGACAAAAACTTACGAGCAAGTGTGAGCGTCAGTAGAAAAACAAGAACAGACTTCATTTTCTCCTTCGTCCACTTAATACAGCAGTAGAATGAACTCGTATGAGAAGCTGCTTCTCCTTCATAGAACCATATAAAGTAGGAGGGAACAATCACAGGGCAATCTGATTGGCCCTTCATTATGAGGGTATTACTTTACAACCACAGTGGAAATTTTTTGACCGTCTTTCAAGCTAAAGCACATGAAACAATAGAAGCAGCAAGCTTCTGTTTCAAGTTTTCATGGTGGGTTTCTGTACCTGCTGCTGAGCGGAAACACACTAACTACAGTTTTCTTCAGTATTTTTTCAAACTCAACCAGTGGTTCGTGAAAGCATCAACTTTCCCATTTTGGCAAATACGATGATGGATCTTTCGAACCAGAAGTGACCATATTTGGATTGGATGTGGATACACATTAGTCCCTTACATGCAGCAGTACCCCCTCTCTGTGTGTGTTTAACATCCTTTTTGGAGTGTTCTGTGAGTGTGTGGAGTCACATGTCTAGCGAGTGGTCCCTCCCTAAGGTATATAAGTGGCTGAGACTGAGTGATCTGTTTCGTCTTTTTCTTAGCGCTTGAGTGTGCACTGATGAGTCAAACAATCCCACTGCTGGTGACCAGTCTACTGGGAGCTGCCGGATATTATCTGGTCTGCTGGGGCCCGCAGAGGTCTTGCAGTGCCATTGGCGTGGGAGTCCGCCCCCTGGATGAGATGGCCTGCGAGTTTCGCAGTCAGGGAGGATCCTGTTGTTCCCTGCCCTCATTCCACACCAGGGCGGAGAAGCAGCAGACCCCAAATCTTTGAGGACTCCAGTCCACTTGTGCCTCAACTTCAAAGGTTCACAGACCAGGGTGTTTTTAGGCCATTTTAGGAGTGAGAGTCACCACCATGGTGGCGGGGCAACGTTCTGCTCCCCCCTCATCCAGGGACCTGCTGACAGCCTGACAGTATTACGACGTCATGTACAAGAGGTATTCGTGCTTAGGCACGGTTAGTCTTGTGTAGTGTGACCGCGGGCCTCGCCAGAAGGCAGGGGAATGGCGCAGTGGGGGGGCAATCGTGCTTGGGTACAGCACGGTACGGATGGCGAGTGTGACCGCGCCCTTAGAGACCGTAGGTACCACGAGCAGGTCTGATAACTGAAGGCTCTACCTCCCATAGTACATTTAGAGACTGTAGGTACCACGAGCAGGCCTGATAACTGAAGGCTCTACCTCCCATAGTACATTTAGAGACTGTAGGTACCACGAGCAGGCCTGATAACTGAAGGCTCTACCTCCCATAGTACATTTAGAGACTGTACTTAGGCTTGCATTCTGGGAGCAATTTAAAACAAAGATGTAAACGTTTAATTTACACAAAGATATAAAGTTAATATTTGCTCAATACTTTATTTATTTATTGGAGATAATGTTCTGTTACCTTTGCTGGAATCACACGATTTAGTCTTGATGATATGAATCAGGAAAGTTATAATAATCAAGCTTATAGCCAAAGCAGCTGATAACAGAAACAGAGCTATGACGGCCGTCTGATTGTCGGCTCCTGAAAACATGTAAAAACAGGGGACATTTGGTTGACGACTGTCAAAAATGGTGTTAGGTATTGTTTTAAAGGAGTTGAAGTGCATTTTATTTACCTTTAATCTGCAGAAATGTTCCTTTTAAAACTGTCATTTTAATACTCTCTCGTTTCACACAAAAGTAAAGTCCAGTGTCCCCGAGTTTTAATCCATTAATAATCACTACAAATGTTCCAGGCTCTTTTTTTGCTGTGAATCCAGGAGTTTCTTCAACAAGGTCAGACTCAATGGCATTGGTTCCTCCCAAAACCTCAGGCAAATCACCAGAAACGAGCCGGAGCCAGAATAATTGTGTTAAATACCAAGAAGCATCACGAGGACACGTCAGAGTCACATCATCTCCAACACCAACAGTCTTTGTCTCAAAGTTCTCATCGATGGTGCATCCTGAAGAAAATAAATATATGTCAGTGTTTAACAACAGAGAAAGATCATGTATGCTCTGTGCTAAAAATAAAACATATTAATCCTTAAAAGATCAGAATTAGACGAGAAGATTGGACATAAACTTACGAGCAAGTGTGAGCGTCAGTAGAAAAACAAGAAAAGACTTCATTTTCTCCTTCGTCCACTTAATACAGCAGTAGAATGAACTCGTATGAGAAGCTGCTTCTCCTTCATAGAACCATATAAAGTAGGAGGGAACAATCACAGAGCAATCTGATTGGCCCTTCATTATGAGGGTATTACTTTACAACCACAGTGGAATTTTTTTTGACCGTCTTTCAAGCCAAAGCACATGAAACAATAGAAGCAGCAAGCTTCTGTTTCAAGTTTTCATGGTGGGTTTCTGTACCTGCTGCTGAGTGAAACACACTAACTACAGTTATCATTAGTATTTCCACTCGTATAAAAGAAGCATACGTATGAACACTGAAGTCAACCAGTGGTTTGTGAAAGCATCAATTTTGAAGCCAAAGTATTTGAACGAGGATGTCGACACACATTGTCTGGTTGAGCTGCACGTGCCCAGGAAAATCTCAGAATCTATTTGTCTGGTCTGTTCTTGCTGTCCCCCAAAACACTTGAAGACAAATGTTATATCAAGACGCTTTACAGAGAGCAGGTAAAGACGTTACTCATTGTTATGTTACAAAATAATATTAGGATAGACTACCTCCCATAGTACATTTAGAGACTGTAGGTACCACGAGCAGGCCTGATAACTGAAGGCTCTACCTCCCATAGTACATTTAGAGACCGTAGGTACCACGAGCAGACCTGATAACTGAAGGCTCTACCTCCCGAAGTACATTTAGAGACCGTAGGTACCACGAGCAGGCCTGATAACTGAAGGCTCTACCTCCCATAGTACATTTAGAGACCGTAGGTACCACGAGCAGGCCTGATAACTGAAGGCTCTACCTCCCATAGTACATTCAGAGACCGTAGGTACCACGAGCAGGCCTGATAACTGAAGGCTCTACCTCCCATAGTACATTTAGAGTCCGTACTTAGACCTGCATTCTGGGAGTGTAATGTTCTTGAAGGGTAATACAACATTATCAGCTCTTTAAGATAAGATTTTTCCTGATCAGAGCTTTGTAAGAGAGGAAAGGATTTTAAATTATATTCTAGATTTTATTGGGAGCCAGTGCAAAGAAGCCAATAAAAGAGAAATGTGATCCCTTTTCCTCGTTCTTGTCACTACAGCTGCAGCATTTTGTACTATTTGAAGAGTCTTCAGAGACTTACCAAGGTAGCTGTCTAGTGTGCAGCCAGCCTTATTTTATGAAGCCATAAACTCCCACTACATATCTCTTGTTGAGGCCAAACAGAGCAGGTACAAACCAGTGAGAGATTAGCACCTCCCCTCTGGCTGGTGAAAAACACAATAAAAACAAATTTTTTTCAACCTTTATTTACACTCGAGACATCATTGAGGGGCGGACTAGACTTTAGGGGTGGAGCATGCTTGAGCAAAGTACAGATTGCCTAGTGTGAGTGCGCCCTCAAACCTGACTGATATGGGCTCATGATTTTGGTTCTGGAAAGAAAATCTTTAAACTAGTCATTTATTAAGAATTCTATATTGTTTGGCCTGTAATTATTGAGATTACCCTTGTCACCTCCCTTATGTAGGAGCAGGTGAGGGGTTTGTGGAGCATGCTCAAAACGCCTAGTCTAGTTTGGGTCTGACTGAGGTAGGACGTAGGTCAAGCAGCAGTAAAATCAACTGCTGCTTGCCGGTTTCAGTCCTCATGGTTTCCTGTACACAAAAAAACAGGGAATGTGGCAGAACCCTAAACTTGCAATAAAATCACTCCGCCAACTAGCCTTTAAGAGGAGTATTGCAGAGCTAAGGAGCAAGCATGTTTCAACATTTAAAGGTAGAATATGCAATATTTTACACATAAATATAGCAGAAATCCAGTATATCCTCTGAAAATAACTCTGAGTCATGACTGTCATGAGAGTCCCGTGGTATCTACA